CCCAAGCCCCCTGTGCCACCCCTGTGCTGAATATAATGAGAGGAGAAACATTTTGACTAATAACCTTTAACATGTAAACACTAATTAGAATTTTAAAAGAACAGCATCACATTGAACAATATAATCTGATTCAGAATAAATTTATATCATGTAAAAAAAATCTCTCAACAAACTGAGGCAGCACTGAAGACACTCGCTCACATATGTCAAGAAATTTGGAAGACAGCTACCTGGCCAACTAATTGGAAGAGATCCATATTTCTGCCCATTCCAGAGAGGTGACCCAACGGAATGTGAAAATCATTGGGCAGTATCATTAATATTGCATGCAAGTAAAATTTTGCCAAAGAGATTTCAAAAATGGCTGCAGCAGTAAATTGACAAGGAGTTACCAGAGGTTCAGGCAGGATTTAGGTGGGTATGTGGAATGAGGGATATCATTGCTGACATCAGATAGATGTTGGCTAAGAGCAGAATTCCAGAAAGATGTTTACTTGTGCATTACTGATTACGCAAAGGCTTTTGATTGTGTGGATCATGACAAACTATGTACAACAGTGCAGAGAATTAAGTGTTCCGGAACACTTAATTTTGCTCATGAAGAACATGTACATAGACCAAGAGGCAGTTGTTCAAATGGAACAAAGGGGCACTGAATGATTTTCAATCAGGAAAGGTGTGCACCAGGGTTATAGTCTTTCAACATACTTATTCTATCTGTTGTTGTTAGATACTATTGAGTTGGTACCAACTCATAGAGACCCTATGCACAACAGAACAAAACAGTGCCCAGTCCTGGGCCAACCTAACAATCATTGCTACACTTGAGCCCATTACTACTGCTACTGTGCTAATCCATGTTGTTGGTGGTCTTCCTCTTTTTTGCTGTTTCTCCATTTTATCATGCATGATGCCTTTTTTTCAGGGACTGGTCTCTACTGACTACATGTTTCAAGTATGACCATCCTTGCTTCTAAGGTGCATTCTGGTTTTACTTCTTCAAAATCAGATTTGTTTATTCTTCTGTTGTTGTTGTTGTTGTTAGATGCCATTGAAGCAGTACTGACTCATAGCGACCTTATGCACAGCAGAACAAAACACTGCCCGGTCCTGGGCCAACCTCACAATTGTTGCCACGCTTGAGTTCATCAATGCTGCCCCTTGGCCAATCCATCTCGCTGGGGGTCTTCCTCTTTTTCTCTGACCCTCCACCTTGCCAAATATTATTATCTTTCTCCAGTGACTGGTCCCTCCTGACAATATGTCCGAAGTATGAGAGATGAAGTTTGGCCATCCTGGCCTCCAAGGAGCACTCTGGCTGCACTTCTTCCAACACAGATCTGTTTGTTCTTTCGGCAGCCCATGGCACTTTCAATATTCTCCTCCAACACCATAACTCAAAAGCATTAATTCTTCTACAGTCTTCCTTATTCACTGTCCAACATTTGCATTCATATGAGGTTATTGAAAACAACAATGGCTTGGGTCAGGTGCACCTTAGTCCTCAAACTGACATCTTTGCTCTTCAACATTTTAAAAAGGTCTTTGCAGCAGATTTGCCTAATATGTCATTTGATTTCTTGGCTGCTGCTTCCATGAGTGGTGATGGTTGATCCAAAAAAAATGAAGTCTTTGACAACTTCAATCTTTTCTTCATTTACCATGATGCTATTTATTGGTGCAGTGGTGAGGATTTTTGTTTTCTTTATATTGCAACCCATACTGATGGCTGAGGTCTTTGATCTTCATCAGTAAGTATTTTACATCCTCTTCACTTTTAGCAAGCAAGGTTGCGTCATCTGCATATTGCAGGTTAATGAGTTTTCCTCCAATACTGATGCCACACCCTTCCTCATATAATATAGTTTCTTGGATTATTAGTTCAGCATACAGATTGAATAAGTATGGCAAAAGAATTCATCCTGGCACACACCTTTCCTAATTTTCAACCATTCACTATCATCTTGTTCTCTTCAAACAACTGCCTCTTTGTGTATTGTACAGGTTCCTCATGAGCACAATTAAGTATTCCAGAATACACATTCTTCTCAATTTTATCCATAGTTTACAATGATCCACATAGTCAAAGCTTTTGCATAGTCAATAAAACAACAGTAAACATCTTTCTGGTATTCTCTGTTTTAAGCCAAGATCCATCTGATGTCCATGATAATATCCCTAGTTTCATGTCCTCTTCTGAATTCAGCTTGACTTTCTGGAAGTTCCCTATCAATACACTGTTGCAGCCATTTTTCAATCATCTTCAACAATGACATGGTTCGATGATTTCCACATTCCACTGAATCACCTGTCTTTGTAATTAAGAATCTCTTCCAATCACTTGGCCAGGTAGTTGTCTTCCAAATTTTGAGGCATAGATGAGTGAATACCTCCAGTGCTACATCAGTTTGTGAAAATTTTCAATTTGTATTCTGTCAATTCCTGGAGCCTTGTTTTTTGTTAATACCTTCATTGCAGCTTGGACTTTTTCCTTCATCACTATAGGTTCTTGAGCATATGCTATCTTGTGAAATGGTTGAACATCGACCATTTCTTTTTGGTACAGTGACCCTGCTGATGTATAGCTTCCACCTTCTTTTGATACTTTGTGCATCATTTTGATACTTTGTGCATCATTTTGATACTTTGGTACAGTGACCCTGCTGATGTATAGCTTCCACCTTCTTTTGATACTTTGTGCATCATTTTGATACTTTGTGCATCATTCAGTATTTTTTACCCATAGAGTCCATCAATATTGCAAGTGGAGGCTTGATTTTTTTTTCTTCAGTTCTTTCAGCTTGAGAATGCTGACCTTGTCCTTTCCATTTGGTTATCTTACTCCAGGTCTTTGCACATTGCATTTTAATACTTGGCGTTGTCTTCACAAGTCACCCTTTGAAATGTTCTGTTCTGCTCTTTTACCTTCTCATTTGTTTCATTTTCGTTAGCATGTCTACACTGAAAAGCAAGTTTAAGAGTCTCTTCTGACATTCCTTTCTTGTCTTTTTAATGATCTTTTCCTTTTTTCCTATTGATGTTCTTGATGTCATCCCACAGATCTTCTGGTCTTCAGTCATTAATGTGTAAACTTATCAAATCTGCTCTTCAGATGGTCTCAATTCAGATAGGATATGTTCTGGGTCATATGTTGGCTCTCATGGACTTGTTTTAATTTTCTGAAGCTTCAGCCTGACCTTACATATGAGCAATTGATGGTCTGGTCCATATTTGGCCTCTGGCCTAGTTTTGACTGATGATATTGAGCTTTTCCATGGTCTCTTCCCACACACGCAGTCAATTTGATTCCGGTGAATTCCATCTAGAAAGGTCCATGGGTATAATGTTGTTTTTGGAAGGAAGTCATTGTTCTTGCAAAATTCTACCATGCGATCTCTAGCATCATTTTTATTACCAAGGCCATATTTGACCCTTCTTGTTTCCAACCTTTGCATTCCAATCACCAGTAATTGTCAGTACATCTTGATTGCACTAAATCTGACATGCTATTTATGTTTCAATATTCAATATTCTGGTGTTCCTCTAACAGATGAATATTGAGAGATTTTTCTTCATTTTCTGTAACTCAGCCTTCCATTGATTCAATTCTACCCATTTGTTCTTTCAGTGTATTATCTATTTCTGAAGCCTTAGTTTTAACCTTTTGACTTTGTAGTTGCTGTTTTTATGTATTTCCCATTTTTTTCATTAATTTTGCCAGATTATATCCTGAATTCTTCTATCATTTTGTCTATGTTTTCCTTGATTTCATCTGCAGTTTTCTCAGTTCATTGAGGGTACCTAATAGAATCCTTTTGAATCCTTTATCAAGTAGTTCTGACATCATTTCATTTTTTGACTCTGTATTTTGGTCACTTGTTTGAGGCACTCTGTCTTGTTCTTCATGTAAGCCGAAATCATAGTCTTGGAGACATTGTAGTGTCGTGTTTATATTTGATTGATGATTGTATAGTGGTGTGTTCTGTGGCACTCACCATCCATCTCCTGGAGGATATGAGACAGGCTTGAAGTGTGAATGCAGTCGGTTCTCTGTTCACTGTTGGTGCAGCATAGTTCAAGGTAGGGTTCCGTGCCTCCATAATCATGGGTGCTATGCCTGGTGCCTGGTCCCAGGCAGAGCAGAGGCTATGCAGGAAAGGTTGCCCCTCTGCGTTGACTAGGGAGGGATTGGCCACAACTCTGGCTACCAGAAGGACCCAGGAACAAGGGAGAACTGTACCCTCTTGCCTCCAATCTTCAGTTTTGTCCTGTGCCCGCAGGCCACTCTAGAGACAGGAGCTTGCAAAAGCTCAAGATGGCAGCTGCTCCAGACTCGTTTTACTTCTGCTCTGCTTCCTCTTTCAGTTAACACCTTTCTGCCCTATCCTCAGAAGTTCAGGCTTCCCAGATTACCATCTGTATCTGTTTCACTGAGTCCTCCATGTCTTTGTTGCAGTACATCTGCCTACTCCACCAACTTGGCCCGGGAGTACCTTTCCTGTCTTTTTAATGACCTTTTGCTTTCTTCATGTGTGATGCTTTTGATGTCATCTCGCAAGTTTTCTGATCATGGGTCCTCAGTGTCTAATGTATCCTGTCTGGTCTTGAGATGACTTCACGCTAAATCCCACCTAACCAGCCTATCACATTACAAATTAGAGCTTCTCTCTCAGCCAATTGCATTGAAAGCCGCAGAGACCCTGCTAGTTCCAGCCTTTGGCGGTAAAATCTGGTTCCTTTGGAAGTATTAGAAGTTCATGTTACTTTGTTTTAGCCAATCAAGTTTTAGATCACGCTCTTAGTGCAGTTTATCATATTCCAAGTCCCGCACTCTCAGTTCCACTGCAGACTACCACTAAATTCCACCCTTACAAAATTCCATCCTATCAGTTTCCAAGTTCTCTGCAGCCTCCTGTAACTTCTCTCTCCTCTTGCCCAACAGTTAAATGAACTACATTTCCCAAAGGAACTTGCGGCGAGTAACGTCACTTCCTGTTTGGAAGATGGCGGCTTCCTAGGGACTCATCCGCTGAGTTGGAAGGAGGCTCAAGCTTCGGTGAGCAAGTAGTTGGGTGGGGAAAGCGTGCGGGGTTATCCCTAGTGGCCCAGCTCCCCTATTTCCGACCCCACATATCCAGCTCCTCCCTTGCTCTGAGGTTGCTCTGGTTTCTCCTGCAGTCTGTCCTCCATCTTTCTTGCTGCAGCTAAAGCTTTGTTTTAGAGGTTGTGGAGTTGCAAGGCGCTCAGGGACCATCCTGAGCAGCCCACGCTCATTTTCCGGATAGACAAACTATCCCACCGACGTCCTGTCTCCCCGCAAAGGAACCAGTAACAGCCAGATCTCTGCCTTTCTCCTGCGTAGACACCCTCCAGGCATCCCAGGGCCCTCCAGGGAGACTTCTACAGATTTGTTATTCCTTTATTCTCTAAGATATTTTCCTTTTCAAAAAACAGAAAGCCCAACTCAATATGGTTTAAGCAAAACAGTAAAGTTACTGGCGTATAGAACTGGTAAATCTCGAGCTTAGCTGAATCCAGATTGCTGATAATTTCTGAGTAGACTGCACACACGAGAGATCCACTTGTCTAATGGCGCCAATGGAAGTCCTAGAGCTGCCCCATGTTGGGTCATGACCCATTCACAAAGGCCAGGGAGCTAGAATGTACTTACAGGCTTGTGTGTGTGTGTGTGTGTGTGTGTGTGTGTGTGTGTATACAAGGTTGCTGTGAAATGCCATCGAGTCAGTTCCCACTCATAGCAACCCTGTAGAAGGCTTCTGAGGCTATAAATCTCTGAAGGAGCAGAAAGCCTCATCTTTTCTCTTGAGGACAGGCTTGGTGAGCTTGAACCACCGGTCTTGTGGTTTGCAGTCCAGTGCTTATCATACAGGGTTAGCCCTACAGAAAAAAATGGGAGGTTATTATCTTCAGTTAGAATAGATGCTGCACTGATAGGTGTACAATCCTCCCATTTTACAGTCAACACTGAGGCCCTGAGAGTGGTAACCCTCACAGTTAGCATGCCCTGTCCTCTCTCCCAGCTCATCTACTAAACCTGATAATGGAAATAATTCAAATTAAATATGTTTTAAACCCCTAAGGGGAGGATCCTGGAGTCAGTCCCCCATCCCTGCTGTATCCAGCAACACGGGAACTATGGAAGTTGCTGAGCCCAGCAGTCCCACTGAGGAGGAAGAAGAGGAAGAAGAGGAGGAGGAGCAGTCAGCCGAGCCTCGGCCCCGCACCCGCTCCAACCCAGAGGGGGCTGAGGATCGGGTACTGGGGGCCCAGACCAGCGTGGGCAGCCGCAGTGAGGGTGAAGGTGAAGCAGCTAGTGCTGACGATGGAACTCCCAACCCACCAGGTGCTGGACCCAAGCCCTGGCAGGTACCCCCGCCAGCCCCTGAGGTCCAGGTGCGGACACCCAGAGTCAATTGTCCAGAAAAGGTGGTAAGTAGGAAGGAGTCTTGGTCTTCAGCTCCAAGGGTGGTTGTCATCCTTGGGATTCAACATTTCCTTCTTTCAGAATTTACACTGCTAACATCCACTCATTTCCTTGTTACTATATCAAGTGTTCATTGATTCATTCATCAACGTGGACTCCCAATCCACCGGTCTTTCCTCTGAGCCACGGACTTCAAAAATGAACCACTTGATTGGGAATGGATGATCACTGTGTTGCCTTGTCAAAACACCTTTTAAAAGTGTTAAAAAAAAAACCAAAGAGAGTCACTTTAATTATCAGTGTGCTCCTGACCCAAGCCATGGTCTTTTCTATTACCTTACCTTTGAAAGCTGGGCAGGGACAAAAGGAAGACAGAAGAGTTGATGCATTTGAATTGTGGTATTGGCAAAGAGTATGGAATATACAAAGAATAAACAGATCAGTCTTAGAAGAATTGTAACTAGACAGTTCTTTCAAAGCGAGAATAGTGAGTTTTAGCTCACCTGCTTTGGATCCATGATCAGGAAAGACCAATCACTAGAAAAATCCATCGTCACTGGTAAAGTAGTTGTTGCTAAGTGCCATCAAGTCAGTTCTGACCCATAACGACGCTGTACAGGGTTTCCGAGGAGCGGCTGGTGAACTTGAACTGCCGACCTTGCAGATCAAACCAACTTTACAGTCCAGCGCATTAACCCACTGTGCCATACCAGGACTCCATAAGGACAATATTGTTGTTGTTGTGTGCTGTCGAGTCGGTTCTGACCCATAGCACCCCTGTACAGGGTTTCCAAGGAGCTGCTGGTGAGCTTGAACTACCAACCTTGCATTTCAAATGGACTTTGCAGTCCAGCGCATTAACCCTCAGTGCCACACCAGGACTCCATAAGGACAATATAGCGGCATTATTATTTCAATGCAGCACAATTACAAGTGAAAACTAGAGAAAGCTTCCATGAGATGGATTGAAATGCCAGAACAATAGACATGAACCTACCAAGGGTGAAGAGGATGAAGATGGGGTAGGTAGGACTGGGCCACGTTTTGTTCTGTTATTTGTAAACTCACCATGAATTGGAGCTGACTCAGTGACACCTACCTACAACATCATCTTGTCAGAAGGGCTGCTTGGGGAGGGATGGCTTAGCTAGTGGGACTCTGTGAGTGCTCTGTTCACACCCAGTTGCTGCTGGACCCAGGGCCCTCACCACTCCGCAACATCCTTTGCAGATCATCTGTCTAGACCTGTCTGAGGAAATGTCCCTGCCAAAGCTGGAGTCATTCAATGGGTGAGCTGGACGTCTTCGGGCTAGACTGGGGTCATGGCTGGGGAGGGGCTCTCTCACAAAGACTCCTGGTACCTACAGTCCCTGGAACAGCTGGAAGCTTGCTTAGAGGGAAATCAGAGGCAGGTGGAACCTCCATCCAAGTTCACTGAACTATGATACAACAGACCTCTCTAGACCCTGAAACCCCTTTGGGAGAAACAGCTTTTAGAAAATTGAAATGATCTTTCCCTTTCACCCCCATCTCAGAATCACAGAGCTGAAACACCACAAGTAGGGGGACTTTAAAGAAAAGAAATATATTTTCTCATAGTTCAAGAGGGTAGAAATCTGAATTTAGGGTGCCAACTTTAGGGGAAGACTCTCTGTTGACTCTAGGGGAAAAAAATCCTTATCTTAACTTTCTCTAGCTGGAGTTCCTGGGTGGTGCAAATAGTCAGCACTTGATCACTAACCAAAAGGTTGGCTGTTTGTACCTACATAGAGGTGCCACCTAAGAAAGGCCTGGCACTCTGCTTCTAAAAGGTCACAGCTTTGAAAAACCCTATTCCACTCTGCATACATGGGGTGGCCCGGAGTCAGTCAGTGGTATTGGTTTCCTCCATCTGCTCTTCCTCACTTCTGTACCTAATCGGCTCTTTGTATTTGAGAAATGATTGGTTTAAGACACATTCTCCTCTGAGATGGCCTCATTCACATAACATAGAAAACGCTATTCCCAAACGGAATCACAGGTATGTGCTGACCTTGTGGTTTGCAGTCCAGTGCTTATCCAACAGAACCACCGCACTCCCTGCACAGGTATCTTGGCTAAGATTTGCAACACATTTTGGGGGGCACAATTTAATCAATTACAGGCTCTGAGAAACAGGTCTCCTGGCCAGTAAGCAGAGCAAGATTTGGAGCCAGATCTGGCTGACCCCGAAACCACTGCCCTAAGCCCTGGGTCTTTTTAGGGGTTAGGCAGTAAGGCCAGCGGGGCTTCTCGTTGGTCTGCCCTTCCCCCGACACACACACACACACACTCACACTCACTGGTGGCCTGTCTGCACATGTCCCGGGAGTGGACTTGAGAGGCAGTGTGAGACCTGAGTTGGCCAGAGGACCCCACTTGGAGAGGGTGGGAGCTCAGAGGCCACCCAGACCTGTGCTTCTGGATATCATCTTGGGACCGACAGATGGGTCCCCAGCTGGGTGGGCAAGGGGTCCCAGGGTCCCATAGTCCAGGAGGCCCTGCCTCAATCCTTGCCCCTTGCCCACCTTCACAGCTCTAAAACCAATGCCCTCAACGTCTCCCAGAAGATGATTGAGATGTTCGTTCGGACCAAACACAAGATCTGCAAGAGCCACGAGTTTGCCCTGGTGGTGGTGAATGATGACACAGCCTGGGTGAGGCCTGGGTGAGGTGGGGCGGGGCAGGGGTGCTGGGTGTGCCCTGGGCCTCAGGCCTGGTCCCTCCCACTGAGCCCTCTGCTCCCTGCAGCTATCAGGCCTGACCTCCGACCCTCGGGAACTGTGCAGCTGCCTCTATGACCTGGAAACCGCCTCCTGCTCCACATTCAGTATCCTTCCCGAAGGGGGCTTATTGTGGCGGGCGGTGGGGGAGTGGCGCTTCCTGTTACCTGAGCCAGAGAAGGGGCTGGTTTAGGCTCACAGGGGTTCACATCCAAGCTCTGAGCTTCAGTTTTCTCATCTTTAAAATGAGGGGAAGGGAGACTGTATGGCACAAGTGATTTGCACTTGGCTGTTAACACCAAGGTTGGCAATTCAAGCCCACCCTGTGGCACCATGGTGAAATGTGTAGCTGAGAAAACCTCATGGGACAGTTCTACTCTGTGACACTCGGGACAGACTAGACAGCAGGGGTGTTTATTGAGCACCTGCTGTGTGCACAACGGTCCCTGGGTGGCACACATGTTTTGCATTTGTCTACTAATCTAAAGGTTGGCAGTTCAAACCTCCTCAGTGGTGCCATGGAGTAAAGGCCTGGCGATCTGCTTCTGTAAAGACTAGAAGCAAGGAAAGCCTGTGGAATAGTTGGACTCTGACACACATAGAGTCACCATGAGCCAGGCCCACTAGATGACATTTAACAGCAGCTGTCAAACCAAGGACACCACACTGCCTAACCCAAGATAAAGTCATATAGCAAAAGTACAAATAGTAAATAAAAACAAAGCGCTGGAAGCCCTTTGCAAATCTGACAGAGTGTCAAAAATGTACTCTCATGGAGAGCAGTCCGTCACAGGGCCAGGTATACACAGGTATACAGTAAATGCTCAATAAATGGCAGTCTATGACTGAAAAATGGCACTTAATTGTCCCTGTGGCCTCTTCAGCCTCGGCACATTTTATGCCATGGTGAGTTGTCACGGCAACCCCGTGTTGTCAGAGTAGAACTGTGCTGCTCTGTGGCGTTTGGGGTTTAAAGATGTTTAGATGCTTCTTTTGCAGTCCTGGTGTAGCACTGCGGGCTAATGCTTCAGACTGTAAAGTTGTTTGAATTGCAAGGTCAGTTCAAGCTGCTCCTGGGAAAGCCCATACAGGGTCGCTGTGGGTCGGAATCGAGTCGACAGCACTTAACAACAACAACAACAACAACAGATACTTATTATAACAAAAACTTAAGTGTTAATAATCGTAGTGATAAAAACAATAGTAAAGATTTTCTGTCTCTGGTGGTATGCGTTGTGACAGTGAGAGAGAAGTACCTACCCCACGGGTTGTTCAATAGCAGGTCACTGGGGCTTTCGTCCAAAGCACCTCTGAGTGGACTGTAACTTTTATGTTAGCAGCCAAGCACACTCACGGATTCATATCACCCAGGGGCTCCAGCTGAACATTACAGTCTTATATTTGGTCCCAAACTTAGAGAGACTATGATCCCTGCCCCCTGCAAGTTTGAAAAAAAATAAAGTAAACAGTTGGGAATGAAGACAGCAGGGGCAGGGAGTAGTGGGGGTTGGGGAGAGGGTAGGGGCGTCAGCTCTTACTTGGTGAGGGCACCATCTCCCACCCTGAAGGAAAAGGAGTTTTGCATCCCCAAGAATCTTCAGGGAATTCAGTGCTAGTTCCCTATCCCTTGATTCATGCTGAGGGGAAACTGGGACTGGACTCAGAGAGGGCAAGCCACTTGGCCATGGTCACACAGCAGGTCTTTGGCAGACTTGTGCCTCGAACTGGGCTCTCCTGGCTTCAGGGTCAGGGCTCACCCATGCTCTGCTGCCTGCCTTCTCCTTAGCACCCCTTCCAGATCTCGAAGGCCTCTTCAGCCTCATGTAAGTCCCTGGGAAGAAGTTAGAGCACAACAACATTAAGGGAGCCCCAAAGCCTCCCCGCTCCTAGCCTCTCCCCTGGTCTCAAAGGTTTTTTTTTAGAAAAAGAGCCCTACCTTGAGTCTCACATTAGTTCTGTGACTACCCCGTGCTCCCCAATCTCTCTTCTTTTTAAACCCAGGGGTTGGCAAATTTTTTCCAAAAAAAGCCAGATAGGAAATAATTCGAGCTCTGTAGATGTTAAGTTCTGTGTTGCAACTACTCAGTTCTTGAAAGCAGTCATCGACACAGTGGGCATGTCTGTGTGTGTCAGCAAAACTTTATTGACATACACTGACTGACATGTGAATTCCATAAAGTTTTCACTTGTCATGAAATAGTCTCCTTTTTCCTTTCCACCTTTTGTTAAAATGTAAAAACCACTTTTTATTTGCCAACCCGTTTTAACCAGCTCCCTGACTTCATCGTCCTCTTCGTCATTCACCTGGTACAGCTGTCTCAGCCAGTTTTACACAAGTCCCTGGGGTAAATTCCCAGTAGAGGACATGCTGGATCAAAGAGTTGCATGCTTCTGATTTTGCTTAACTGCCAAGGAATTGTCTTAAGAAGTTCATTTAACTTCGAGTATTGATGCCTGTCTCCCTGCAGCCTTCCCAACACTGGGGTTGATTCCACTTTTGAAAATTCTACCCGTCTATAGGAGCTCTGGTAGCGTAGTGGTTACGAATCGGGCTGCGAATCGCAAGGTCCGCAGTTCAAAACTACCAGTTGCTCTGTGGGAGAAAGATGAGGCGTTCTGCTCCCGTAAAGATTTACAGCCTCAGAAACTCTGTTCAGGGTCGCTATGGGTTGAAACCGACTCGACGGCATGTAACAACAACAACAACAACATAGGTGGGAAGGACAGAATGTCGTATTTTTCCTTGAGTTTGTGTTCTTTTTTAATTATGGCAAAAATATACATAAAATAATATTTGCCAATTCAGTACTTTCTTTTTGTTCATTTTTAAATCACTGAATATTCTTCCAACAATTTATCTATTTTCTGTGGGGAAGTTGGCGTTTTTCTTGTTGGTGATAAGGCTTGCTTTTTACATATGAAGGACCCTTATTTTCTTAGTTCTCTTTGCCTAACCCTTACCCTGTCCTAGGGGCTTGGGTGGGGTCTATGTGGACACTGACTTAACACAGAAGAGCTCATCCCTGCATCAGGGGCGCCTGGCCTGATTGGGGAGGCACGTGTCACTAGGCAGTGCCACCTCAACTGTGATAGGATAGACAGAGCAGGTTCCAGGCTGGATAGAGGAGCAGACGAGGGGCTACAGGCAAAAGGAACAGCAGGGTGGGAGGCTCACAGACAGGAGTGAACTCAGCTGGGTTCTCTCTCAGAGTCATGAGCAGGGAAGACCCCTAGAGCATGCTCTGACCTGCCCTGCCTCCTGACTCTGTAGCCAACAGAAGACGGAACTGCCAGTCACAGAGAATGTACAGACAATCCCGCCCCCGTATGTGGTCCGCACCATCCTCGTCTACAGCCGTCCACCCTGCAAGCCCCAGTTCTCCCTGACGGAGCCCATGAAGGTGGGCAAGGCCAAGGAGAGGGAGGGGCACCTGTAGCCATGGGGTGGTGGTCAGACACTAGGAAGGACTTCCTGAAGGCTGCGGTTGGGGTAGACAGGGGTGAAGGGTTTTAGGGTCTGAGGAGAACTCAGAATTCTGTCCATGGGAGCAGGGGGTGTCGAGCCCCCAAGACTGGTGATCTTTTCCCCACAGAAAATGTTCCAGTGTCCGTATTTCTTCTTCGACATTGTTTACATCCACAACGGTGCCGATGAGAAGGAGGAGGAAATGAGTTGGAAGGTGAGACGCCATGGGGGATCCTCCATGGGGATCCCTACCTCCATTTACCAGCCCTGGAGCCCCGGCCCAGTTGAATTGTTGTCATTTAGACATTGCGTGTGTGTATGCTGTGAGTCCAAAACCACCAAATAAGGCTGAGGAGGCGGGGCGTGGTTGGAACTTTGGCTCAGGGAGCATGTCTGGGTCCTGCCTACCTCCCACCCTGCTTCTAGACCTTCCTGCCTCGGCCTTTGCTGGGACCTCTATGTGGAACACCCTTCCTCCCTACCTCCCCAGATTCTGCTGGTCCTTCCCATCCCAGTACCAAGTAGTCGTGGGTCTGAAGTGAGCTCCTTACCTCTCACCCTTCCACACTCAAAAGGCCCTCCTCCAGGAAGCCTTCCCTGTACCTCAGAGAGCGGCATGAGGCCTGGGGGGGCTGTCTGCATCTCACTGTGCTTCTTTCTTCCTAGAGGAGCAGAACTGTGCGGGTGGTGGGGAATCATTTCTGAATGCCTGAAAGTATTTTCTGCTTAGAAAACTCCTCTTCACCCTTCAGAACCCACCGCTAAATGCCCTCACCTCTGGGAAGCCCTCTAAGGGGCAGGGAGGGCTTGTCCAGAGGAATCCCCTGGCTGACCAGACACTCACTACTCCCCTTCTCCCCCCGCCCCCCAGGACATGTTTGCTTTCATGGGCAGCTTGGATACCAAGGGCACAAGTTACAAGTATGAGGTGGCACTGGCTGGGCCGGCCCTGGAGCTGCACAACTGCATGGCCAAGCTGTTGGCTCACCCACTGCAACGACCCTGCCAGAGCCACGCTTCCTACAGCCTGCTAGAGGAAGAGGAGGAGGCTGCCGAGGTTGAGGCCACTGTCTGAGGCAGCCCTGAGCACCTCAGCCTCCCAGGCCTTGAGGGGCGTTCTCAAACTGACCTCTCTGGATCCCCAAGGGTGTTCCAGGAGGTACCCAGGGCATTTGTGGGTATGGGGATGGCTCTAGAAAGAAAGCCGAGATTCCTGCCGGCACGTCAGAGGTTCTGGGTACCCATCCTCCATAGTCTCCAGATGATGCCCCAGCCCCTGTTGGTGTCAGCTGTAGCTTTTGATCTTCTCCATCTGATTTTGTCACAAAATAAAAATGTGAGGCTCTCCAACCCAAGTCCACTTATGTTATTTGGGATCCTTTTGGTTGCAAATGACAGACACTCCCCATTCCCCCTACTGAGCCAAAAGGAAGGGGAAGGAATTGGATCTTGTGGCTGAAAAGTCAAGCTTGGTGACTTTAGGCCAGACTGTACCCTAAGGTGCTTGGACAATTGTAATGCCCGAGATGGTTGACGTCTAGTGTGCCGCCCTGCCTTCTTCCAACCCTGCAGAGGGGTAAGGTGGCCCCATCACATCCCAAACCCCAGTTTGAGGGCTCTCCCAGTAGCCTTGTGTGATTGACCCTGCCTAGATCCTGTGAACTTCCAAAAGCTCAATCTTGAGCCACAGCCCCAGGACACTCTGATTGGTCGGGCTCATACCCACCTCTTTCCTGAGGTGGAAGATTGCTCGTTGAAACTTGGTTGTTGTTAAGTACCAGGGAGTTGGTTCCGACTAATAGTGACCCCGCACAGGGTTTCCAAAGCTGTAAATCTTTACGGGAACAGAAAGCCTCATCTTTCTCCTGTGGAACAGCTGGTAGTTTCGAACTGCCAACCTTGAGGTTAGCAGCCCGATTTGTAACCACAGAGCTCCTTTGTAACATGGTAGTGGAGTATTCTCCTCTCCTCAGAAACCCTATGCAGGGTCACTGTGAGTTGTATCAGATTTGACAGCATTTAACAACAACAGAAAATCAGGGAAGTGTGGGTGCTTCCCATAGGAAGGAGATGGGGAGACAGGCACAGTGGGTCTACCATATGAAATGAGAATAGTTTAATTGAACAACTGTTCTTGCTGGTCTATGCCTATTGGTTCAATCCTCACACCAACCTTGCAGGCATTCTCTATTTCAGAGGTGGAGGCAGGGCAACAGAAGTCCAGGGTCAGCGCTTCAAAGTAATGGACTCCCACCCCCCACCCGGTTGAAAATGAACTGCCAGAACTTCCCGAGGTGGAGGTTAGACAGGCAGGTCTATAGTATTGGGGCTATAGGCAGTTAGGCGATGCCCCTGGGTAGTGTAAATGGTGAAGACTGCTAACTGAAGCGTTGGTGGTTCAAACCTACTTAGAGGTACCTCAGAAGTAAGGCCTGGTGATGTGTTTCTGAAAGCAGTTCTACTCTGCACACATAGGGTCTCCAGGAGCTAGAATAGATTTCATGGCAAGCACAAACAACACACTAATGGAGGTCCCCTCACCAAAGGGTACCAGGAGACTTCAAAGATTTTGGCATCCTAGGTCCCTCGATTCATCGTAGCTCCACCCCCTCCAATTGGGTGCGTCTCCCCAATTTTGAGGTAAGATACTGGCACACCCGGGCCCTTATCGGTGGCCCCAGGCCCCTTCCTGAGCACCAACCACGGTTACAACCGGGCTGCACTGACGTTAACTCTGAGCTTGATGTGGACGCTTGTGCGGCGCGGTACAGCCTGGCCAGGGGCCCGGCGACCGGGCGGCCGGGCGCATGCGCATGGGGACAGCGCGGGAAGTCGGCTGCTTGTGGTGCTCCGACACTGCAGGGCCATGGCCTCCGCAACCCGGCTGGCTCAGCTGCTGCGGGCAGCGCTGCAGGCGGAGGAGCTGGGGTGAGCCGGGAGACCAGGCGGGGCAGGCAGGGTCAGGGTCGGTGCCAGTCTGACGTTGCTGTCCCTTTCCCACAGGGATGTGGAGGAGCTGCTAGGGCGCGGCGGGGACCCCAACCTGGTACTCCCAGACGGCGCGTCGGCTATGCACCTTGCGGCCGGGGCGTGGCGCCCGCGCGGCCTCCGTTGTCTCAGGGCACTGCTGCGGCACGGCGGGGACCCCAATGCCCGGTGAGACGGCCGGTAACTGGGCAGTTTAAGAAGTGAGGCCTGGAAACTCAAGGAAGAGCCCCACGGTCCACAGTCCAGGAGTGGCGCTCGGGGTCCAAGGACGGGGGGGGGCGGGGGGGAACTAGGGCTGGACATGGGCGGTTGGATTTCCAGGTTGAGAGTGGGGTAGTGGGTTGCGCTGGGGCCAAAGGGTGGGGATCAAGGGTTTGGATCTGCGCCCGTAGGCTCCAGGGTCATAAGATAGAGACTGGTGTTTAGATCCCAGGCTGGCGGGCGGCTGTGGGAAACTGGATCAAGGCTGACTCTCCCTTCGGCTTCCACCCAGCTCGGCTGAGGCGGTGACCCCTCTGCACGTGGCTGCTGCCTGGGGCTGTCGCTGTGGCCTGGAGCTGCTGCTGATCCACGGAGCGGATCCCACGCTACGTGACCAGGTGGGGAGCCTGCGTGGGTTTGCTGGGTGCACAGGCGGGAGGGCTGGCTGAGGGCCGCGGGCGCCCCCTGCTGACCACACCGCCGCAGGACGGGCTCTGTGCTCTGGACCTAGCTGAACAGCAGGGACACCAGGATTGCGCACGCATCCTGCGAGAGTTGGGGACAAGGACCCGGAAACCCACACCAACCCAAGAGCCTGAGCCCAAGGCCAGTGGTGAGTGGGGCCTGCGGCTTTGAGTGTCTGGGATCTTTTCTATTTCCACAGGTCTCCAGCTGTTTCCAACTGTCTTTGGCATCCACTGTTTCTGGCTTTTTATTTATATATATCTCTCTATCTACCTATCCTACCTACCCTACCCTACCTACCTACCCTACCCTCACTACCTTACCTACCCTACCTACCTACTTTACCTATTCTACTTACCCTACCTTACCTTACCTACCTACCTACCTACCCTACCCTCACTACCTTACCTACCCTACCTACCTACTTTACCTATTCTACTTGCCCTACCTTACCCTACCTACCCTACCCTATCCTGCCTATCCTATCTATCTATCTATCTATCTATCTATCTATCTATCTATCTATCTATCTATCTATCTATCGTTGTTTCTGACCATCTACAACTATTCCCAACCATCTCTGAATGTGTCCAGCTGTCTTGGACTATTTTTGACTGCTTCTGGCTCTTGAGGTGCCCAATGGCCTTAGAATGCTTGCAATTGGTGCCAACTGTCTTCAGCTGTCTGTTTGTTTCCAATGGTCTTGGATGTCTGGGACTGGATGTGGCAGCTTCCGGCTATGTTCCAGTGGTCTCCTGTTGTCTGCCTGTTCTTAGCTGTCTCTAGCTGTTCCCTGCTGTCTCCAGCTGGTTCTCTTCTCTGACTTTTTATGGCTGAGTCTGACTCAGATGTCTCTGTTTCCCTGCTTGACCCTCCCCTCTTCTTCTCTAACATGCTCTTTCCCCTCCTTCAGACCCTAAAGAAAACGGACCAGTCACTGACCTCTCAGAATCCCCTGATGTGACCTTGGACTCCACGGTGCTCCAGACCCATCTGGGCAGAGGTGATAGTGGGGACATGGGACCCAGCCTCCCTGTACCCCAGCAAGCTGCTGACCAGGACGGAAGCTTGGAGACCTCCCTGGGGCTTTGGGATGGCATCTCAGACACCTTTGTCACCACAGTGGAGGCCTCTGGAGCCGAGGACTCAGCCCTTGACTGTCTCCCCACGGTCCGGTCATTGCCCCAGACCATGCAGGGACTTGTGCCTGGTGTCCAGCCCCCACAGAAGGTACCAAGGTCTCTGGGTACAGCATCATCAGCGCATGGCACTATCATGGGGAACAGGGAGGAAGAACTCAACACCTGCTTGCAGGCCCTGACTCTGGCCTCTGCAGATACTAGCAGCACCTCCACTGCCACATCTGCCTCCTCCACACCCCGCCCAACCCAGAACCTTCCATGGGAACAGCCACTGGGATCTCCAGACCTCCACTTCCTGACCGATGACCAGACATCCCTGGACAGCGATGTGGCGGCCCGCTGGCTGACGGAGGACGAGAAGTCTGCAGATGTCAGGGACCCCATGCCCATTTGCTGGTGCCCACCAGTCCCTGCTGTGTCTGACCTGGAACTGCTGCAGCGACTCCAAGCACATGGAGAACGAGTCAGCCCCATCACACCTCTCCCCCAGCCACCCTACCTCCATCGGCCCGAAGCCAAGCCTGGGCCTGGTTAGTCCCTTATGAGCCATGGGCTGCAGCCCCACTTTCTACCTCTTTGGGACTCACTCCTTCTCCTCCCACTCCTTTAACTCAATTTCCCCTCCCAGGACCAGACTTTGCAGGGCACAGCCCAGAGCTGGCCAAGGCACTGAGGACAGGCCGAATCCCAGATGTCCAGGCAGATGAGGATGCACTAGCCCAGCAGTTTGAGCGGCCTGACCCCTCCAGGAAGTGGCGGGAGGGAGTTGTGAAGTCTAGCTTCACATATCTGCTGCTGGACCCCAGGTAACACTTAAGAGTGAGAGCTGGATCTTTCTGGGATTGACTCTCTCTTACTGTGTGACCTACAGGAAGTGTCTTGCTCTCTCTGGTCATCTGCTTCCTTACTTAAAAAGGCATCCAATTCAAGGTGCCAAGTAGCCTCAGGAAATAGCTATCCGTTTCTGATCCTATAGTGTAGGGTCACTAGATGTGGATTAGACCTTGGGGACTGTATCTGGGGCCCCTCTTATCATTTTCTGCTCTCTGAGTCACCCCCTTTGTCCAGGGAAACTCAGGACCTGCCAGGCAGAGCCTTCTTGCTAACCCCGGTGGAACGCCTCCGGACATTTGTTCGCGCCATCTTCTATGTGGGCAAGGGGACACGAGCCCGCCCAGATGCCCACCTTTGGGAGGCCCTTGGCCGTCGTAGGTGTGCAGGAAAACAGGTATGGGAGTAAGAGTCAGGGCCCCGGGAGGGGCAGCGGTGCCACAGGCAGACAGAGGAAGGAGGGGGTTGGGAGGTCAGCCCCTGACCCCACCTCCTCTCTGGCCCTCTAGACCTGCCCCAAGGTGCGCCGCATTCTGGACATCTGGGCCAGCGGCCATGGTGTGGTCTCCTTGCATTGTTTCCAGCATGTGGTCGCTGTGGAGGCCTACACAAGGGAGGCATGTCTCGTGGACGCTCTAGGTGCGTATGTGGTGCGTGCATGGTGCGCGTGGTGGGCTCTTGACCTACCAGTTCCCCCAACCCATTTCTCAGGGCTGTTCATTGATTCACTGAGCTATCACTGAGCACCAACTCTGTACTTATATGTGCACTTATTTATCCCCACTGGAGGACAGTGCATGGTGGGTTCATTGTCACATACTTGTGCTGGGGAGGTCGCTGAGCTGTCTCATCACCCTTCCATAATCTCTCCAGGGGTCCAGATGCTGACCAACCAGAAACAAGGGCACTGCTATGGCATGGTGGCTGACTGGCCCCCCGCCCGGCGTCGGCGTCTCGGAGTGCACCTGCTACACCGCGCTCTCCTTGTCTTCCTGGCTGAGGGAGAGCGAGAACTTCGGCCCCAGGACATCCAGGCCCGTGGCTGAACATAGGAAACTGGCCATCTGACCTGAGTAGAGAGCACTGTTTGAACCTCCGGGCTGTCCCATAAAGAAAGCAGCCCCTGTGTCTGCCTTTAGAAGGGTGGGCTCCCTGCATTGGCTGAGGAAGATCTCTGTTATAGGTGGAAATGTCAGGGAGGGAGGGAGTACCCCATTACAAGAGGTAGATAAGTAGGAATCTGAAGGTACTTTAGAATATTCTGGTGCTTTTACAGTTTGGTGTTTGATATATAGACAGAGTCCACTTTTATTGAACACTCACAGGGATGGGCTGCGGGTCCCATTGTGGGGTGGGCCCCACGGCTTCTCACACACACTCAGGGACTCCACTTCGGGAGCAGTTATTTTTCTGTCTGAACTTAATTTCCTCAGCTGAACAACAGTGGCAGTGAGAGGCCCTCGTTTGGGATTAAAGAGGTCATGTGGGTAAACCCCTGGCTCAAAGCCCAGCACAAGGTAGCAACCCTGCTGCCCAGCTAGAAAATCTCCCAAGCGAAGGGGTGGACTGTGATATTAATGTGTCAATAGGACAGAGGTGTGAGAAATCAGCCCTGTTAGAATCACTGTGTGACCTGGGCCTCACAGCATAGCTCCTCTGCACCTGTCTCTTCTCTTGTAAAGGGGCATAACCCCAATTCCACAGCTGTGTTACCAGACTGCATACACAAGGACCTTCTGTAACTACCTAGCCACCGTCCTTCTGAGGTGTGGCTGCTGTGATGTTTCGGCCCAGTTTGTGGGGAAAGAGTTCAACTTTTCTAGAAGTTGCTTCCTCAGAGTGGGTTTACAGGCTTAAGGAGCCCCGTGGTGCAAGTGGTTCGCGGTTGGCTGCAAACCTAAAGTTTGGAGGTTTGAGCCCACCTAGCAGCACTGCAGAAGAATGGAGTCTGTTCTGACTCATAGCGATCCTGATTAGGGTTTCTGAGGAGCAGCTGGTGGATTTGAACTGCTGACCTTGCAGTTAGCAATCCAGTGCTGCCTTCTACAACACCATGAAGGGATTTAAACTGGTATATTGGAATTAAGGATGCAGTCTCTGGAGTAGAATTTACCACTTATATAAAGCTTAAGGGGCCTTTGAGTGTCTATATGTTCTTTGTGTGTAAAACAGGGATGCTTCCCAGACAAAGTCTTATAAAGCAGTAGCAACTAAAATAGTGCATACATGGGAATTCATTAGTCTTAAAAGATTAAGGAAGAGATGGAATTCCATCTCACCCTGGGTTCGTCACTCCCATGCTATTGACATTTAGTTCTCGATCATTCTCTGGTGGGAATGTTCATGGTAGGGTGTTGAGCACCATCCGTGGCCTCCACCCACTAGATTTCAGTAATAACCTTAACCCTCAGTCGTATCAACCAAAAAGGTCTCAGGCATCACCAGTGTCCCCTAAAGGGTAAAGTTACCCCTGGCTTGAAGAGGCACTCAGAAACCAGTGGGGTAAGAACAGAAGAATTTGTTCTATTCAGAGGAACTGAGGGGACAATCCCAACCTCACTCCATATACACAAAACAGATGGACCTGTTCAGACCTTTTGGTAGATTGAATTGTGTCCCCAGAATAGATTGTTAGAATTCTAACTTATATGTCTGTGGATAAGGAGCTCTGGTAGCGAAGTGGTTACGAATTGGGCTGAGAACAGCAAGGTCAGCTGTTCGAGACTACCAGCAGGAGAAAGATGAGGTGTTCTACTCCCATAAAGATTTACAGCCTCAGAAACCCTGTACAGGGTCGCTATGAGTTGGAACCAACTCCACGGCACACAGCCACCAGCCACCATGCCTGTGGATGCGATCCAGGTTGGGAAGAGAGATTCATTCTGTTAACGAGGCCGTATCAATGTAGGGCTAGCACGAAAGCTGAGTGATATAGACACAGAGACATGTGCTAAAGCACAAGTGAGGACCACCAAAGACCCAAGGGATGCTGGGTAAGAGGAGGCTGCCCCCAGAGCCCAACGAAAGCTGTCTCTTAGGGCCCACACCCTAAATTCAGACTTAAAGCCTGAACAGTGAGACAATAAATTTCTGTTTGTAAAAGCACCCCCATCCCATCAGTGGTGTTTTTGTTACAGCAACTATAGGAACCTGAAGCAGATGCCAAAACAAAACTTGGTGCTGTTGAGTCCGTTCTGATGTGTTTTAGCTGAACTGCTTTTTAAAAGGGTTTCAATGGCTTGAATTTTTACAGAGGGTCTTTGGGCAGCACAAATGGTTTGTGCTTGGCTGCTGACACAAAAGTTGGCAGTTCACACCCAGGAATGCTGTAGAAGAAAGGCCTGGCAATCTGCTTCCACTATGCAGCATTTCTGTTTGTGTCACATGACATCACCTGAATCTGAATTGACTTGGCAACTGATCGACTTTGGTAAAAGTAGATAGTCAGGCCTTTCTTCCGTGGTACAATTGGCCGGATCGGAACCACCAGCCGTTCAGTCAGCTGTGGAATACAAATATAAAATGGCACGTATTAGAGTAAAATATAATAGGTGTCATCCAGCTGATTTTGACTCGGTGATTCTGTGAAACAGCAGAACTGCCCCCATTGAATTTTATGGCTGTAATTTACTTAAAATACTAATGAAGATCAAAACCCCCAGCCTTCAGTCTGGGTTGCACCTCAATGTAAAGAAAACAAAAGTCCTCACCACTGGACCATAAATAATAGTATCATGATAAATGGAGTAGCCGTCTTTCATGCAGAAGACCTGGGCTCAGTTCTTGGCCGATGTGCCTCATTCACAACTGCCAACTATCCCACCTGGATTTAGAAACCATCTAAGCAGATTTGATGCTTTGAACACTAATGACCAAAGACCAGAGGGGTTGTGAGATGACATCATAAATGAAGAAACCAACAGGTCATGACAGGAAAGTTCAGGTCTGGAAAGGGACTCACCCTCGTGGCACAATTTTCAGCCAAGAAATCGATAGGTATATACGATCTATAGAGTATATATAGAGGTCTGCTCATCACGAGATCATCAATCATTCAAAATCAAAAGGGCAGAGTTTACCTAGGGACAAAGCTGAGAAGTAAGTAGGAAGGAGGGTGGAATGAAGATGAGAACCGCAGGGAACTGGGAAAACTTATTGCAGGGAGGGGGCTGCAATCAGAGATGAAACAAAGTACAATGTGTTGAATGTAAAACTGATGATTTTGTCTGTAAACTGTCACTCAATTCACAAAAAAATTTTTACAGACAGGAAAGAAAAAGGACAAAATTACTACCTGAAGGTAACTCTTAAATTTGCTCCTAAGTGTAGAGTTGGTTGGTTGGTTGGTTATGTGCCGTGGAGTCGTTGGTTCTGACTCATAGCAACCCTGTGCAGGGTTTCTGAGGCTGTAAATCTTTACGGGAGCAGAAAGCCTCATCTTTCTCCCGCAGAACAGCTGGCAGTTTTGAACTGCAGAGCTAAAGCAAATGGAAGAAATGATGAAGTAACTATGCTGATCAGAAAATTTCAAAGGGCACCTTAAGGAAACAAAGTCAAGTTTTGTAATGAAATGTGCAAAAACCTGCAGTTAGAAAATCAAGGGGGAAGAACATGATCAGCATTTCTCAAGCTGAAAGAACTGAATACTTTCAGGTCTCTGCTTGCAATATTGTAGGGCCCTATGGGCAAAATAAGGAGCTCTGGTAGCGTAGTGGTTACGAATCAGGCTGCTAATCTCATAGTCAGCAGTTTGAAACTACCAGCTGT